TAATCGATTATTGTAAACCAGGAATCGGACTTGATCGGGCTCATGGATGACGATTCAAAGAATGCAGCTTATTATTTTCTTCCTACCCCACCGCAAACGCCAATGTTTGAAGATCGTCGAGAAAGCGAAAGTCAAAACGGTGATCCATCAAATGTTCGAGAACATCATCAAAGTATGCTTCGGGAAATCAAATTCGACGACGATCTTTCAAGATATCACGAAACCCCACCTTCTCAACAATCTTCTTTTCAAAGAAATGCCTATCTCAAGCAACAAAAAAATTTTCCATCTAGTCGCCAGAGGCCTTATGCAAATGACAATCAAAATGAATATAATTTTCAAAAAGGTCCTTTTAAACAACCTTTATATCATCCAAAGTACCGAAACCAGTGTTCACAAAATTTATCGCAACAAGAATTCCTTTCGTCCTCCAATTTTCAAATTCGTCCTTCTAGTCAATTTATTTCCTACAACTTTCAAAACAAATACACTCAACGAATGTCATTTCCAACCTTTCTCTCTCCTCGGAACAAAAGTCTACATTCATATCAAATTTTTCATCCTCGAGGTCAACAACCTTCAGTTGAACAACAATCTCATCGGCAGATCATATTTCCAGAACCAGAATGTCAACCGCGTGTGACGTATCAACAAAGAAACCCCAATATCCAACGTATTGCACGTCAATCAAAGTTTCCGACTATTTGCGAACAGCATTCATGGCATTCTTCCAAATCACAACCACACCATGATAAACAACCTTTTCAAATCGTCAATATGGGTGAAACTCGAATCCAAAATAAGCTTGAATTAGATGATGATCCATCCTATCCTTCAAGTTACATTAGAGGATGGCAAACAGAATATCCGTGCGCCCAGGTACATCTTGTGAAGATCCAATTTGGTGACTATAGTGAATACAATATTGATAAAAAAATTGAAAATACCGGCATTTCAAATAATGATCACTGCAATCTCGAGGTTGACGATTCTTCGGATAGCGCCGGTGACTCCAAAGAAGATTACTTGGCCCAGGTTGTAAGAATCCAGCGGGACCGAGGTGAAAACACTAATCGAATAGAAATCAGCGATCGCAGATATGGCCCTCCAAAATTCAGATATAGATACATGGAAGAATCAATTCAGCTATGTCTTTTGCAAAACACACAGATTTGGGTTCCTCTGAAATCTTTGAAGTCAATAGAGAAAAGGGACAAAAGAGTGTTCAAATTTGAACTGAAGGATGACTTGGTCGCGAGGGAAAGGGTAAAAGAAAAGGTGTAAATTTTTCTTTCTTAGTCAAGCCTTTTCACTAACATTTTATATATTATTTTGGTATGACCTTTTTTTTTTTTTTAACAGATTACTTGTCATTTCGATTTTTATTACCCAACTCATAAGAGAACATTAATTAGTGAAAGCATAAGTAAGTTTATTCTAACATTGGGAGTTGTGTTGTATGAATCGTTTAGGAAATTGTAATCCCCCCTCTCTTTTATCATTATTATAGAAGGAGCGCAGTGTGTCACGATGATTACTCACAAGGGTGTTGTGGAAAAGGAACTTGATATCATCGGATTACACATTGACTACATCATCAAAATGTTGAATGCGGATAATCAATATGATTCAATATTTTTAAGATGGAGGGCGGCCGATTGGGGTTCCCGAGCACAGGATTGGTATTCACTTTCGCCAACCGAAAAGCATAAAGAGGAAGTTCATGAGGTAATCGAGGATTCTATTCTTAGCATTATGTTCGATGATAACACAAGAACTTTTGGTTTTCTCCTCAAGGTGAAGGAATGGATAATCAAGTGTCATGTGGATGACAGCACACGAATCTTTCGCTTCGAGGCATCAACGAATTTTCGAACGGTCAAAGAGACGATTCGAGGAGCGTGTCAATTACCTTTGACACCAAAGTTCGAATATAAAGATGACGCCGGAAAATTTACCATTATCTCTGGTGAAGATGATTTCCTTCGGTGTTTTACTAATAAGAACATGGTAGAAATTTGGTACACCCAATGAACGGGAAGAGAACTTTTGACAGGGTGAAAGATTGTAAAGGAATTACATCGTTTCTAGCTAGTGAAATTGAGAAATTTGCAATTACATAAAGTTGACAATGTGAAATTGCTTGATGATTGGTCAAGTATCGCGACATACATATACTTGCGGAAAAGCACGAGGTTGGGTGTGATTGACAGATCTAATCGTTTAGATGCATATTTCTTTGGAAGCACAAAGCAAGTTTAGATTACTCTGTCACGTAAATTAAGGAATCAAGGTTAATGACGCGAGAATTCCAGGTAAATGACGACATGCGTTTGTTTCCAAGTGCTTTCCCAAACGGTGGAATTTTGCTGCATGCCTACAATATTA